ACCGAATGGCTCGAGCCATTTTATATAGAGCCATTTTAACGAGACACGGTGGAAATCTTTTAAACGATCCCTTTGACGAATTTATGACTTGAAATAACAGGTGGCCGGCGAGGAGGGGTCTCAGTCGCGCATCACCTTCCTTTCATCGTTGCTCAGTGTAAACATCGGTTTTATACGACGATCAACGCGTCACATGATCGCAACTTTCGTATAATATATTCGAGTTTTAGCGTAAGAGAGCGCGTGTACCGGTCGTTTGGCTCGCATCGGGCAGAGATTGGAGGCGGTGATGTATAAAGTTAGGGAGCTGAATATTCATTCATTCGGAGAATTTTGTTTCTCGAGTCCTTCGATCCTTCTCTCCTTTTAACAACAATTTTAACGATCGTCTAATGGAAATGTTACGTTTATTAAGAAAAAAATTCTGTTAAGAGGGATTAAGAGAGATTGATGCCTCCCTTCTTCGATGTTAAATATTTTCGATCCTAGTTCATTCCTTTTTGGTAAAGTAAACAGTCCGCAAGAAAATTTAGAACGAACGATCCAATTCGTTCCATTTTTCTCGTTTTATATACGCCATATTTAAATCGATATAACGCACGATCTGATTCATATTTTCTCACTTCCAGGTTCTACCTATATCTAAATCAAAAACCGTGCAAGTTCATCGCGCTATCATCCGTTTCGATCGACCACGTATCGTTTCGATGTCCACGCGTTTCTGTCAACGCGATCGACCGCTTTTCCACCGTCGATAAACCGATAAAATCTCTCCATTTCGCGCGTCAACGACACAGATCCAGCTACTCGTTCCACGCCAACCGAGTCGACCTACGTTTCCACCGATTGAGATCGTTCGACTCGACGGGTTCGTAAGATCGATGGGGAGGAGAGAGAAAGAGAGAGAGAGAGGAAGAGAGAGAGGAAGAGAATCGATAGGGTATGCCGGTTGGGACTGGTAAATTTCTACGTTCACGTAGCCGGCAAGCAACCACGAATTACACGCCTTCTGATATCTTGGTTTGAGCTGAAGGCGGGCGAAGCAACCGGTGAACCGGCTGTCGGCCTCTGTGAAGGTCCGCGCGAGCGGCCCTTCGGGCCACTTTGCATAGCCGAGCCTCATCGGACCTCCCACAGCCCGACCGGCTCTTCACCATCGGAAATCTGCCTTTCTACTCCTCCTCCGCCTTCTTCTTCCTCCCTCCTCGATCCCCGCCTTTCGTTTCTTCAGTATTTTGGTCATTTTTTCTTTTTTCTCTCTGCATTTTTTCCCTTTCTTTTTGGTATTTTTATCTTTTCGTCTTTAGTTATCGGATTAGATTTCAATTAGACTTGCAATTTTGGATTTTCATCGATTAGTTTTATCATGGAGTTTTTCCAATTTTTGTGTTTTTATCCTCAATTGGACAAGATTATTCGATTCGTTCTCTTCGTTCGATCTCTCTTCCTTGAATCTTCGTTCGAAACCTACAATTGTAAAGGAAATATACAATCTTTGGCAAGTCTTTTTTTTTCATTCCGTTTTCTCTTAATAACAATATCGATTTCGATTACACATTGTGCGATCGTACGTCCGTTCGGAATGATTGGATCGATTCGATTGGAAGGAAGGATTGCGTCAAACGTTCAATTGGACGCCTATTATTCAACTGTAAACCCGTGGCTACCAGCGAAATCGTGGCGCAACTATCACCGCCAGATATATATCTATCCGTATATCCAGTCATATTTCTATCCTCATGACCGAGCAACCTGTGCAGCCGACCTTGACTCGTAACTCGCTCTCTTCTCGCGTCTGTAAAAACTACCATCGTCCAACCCTTCTTTACCCAACACCCGTCACGCATTTAATGCCGCTCCCCGTACATTTATCCGGCCTAGCGAGCGTCTCCATCCCTTTGACACCACTAATATTGAATCGTTGAACGATTAAACGAAACGATTTATCCAATGTATCAAGTTAGTTCTCTTATTCGTCTTATATCGAAACCAGATGTTCGATTTATTCCATGAAATCTTATTAAAATTCCGATCGTTGAATTTCGAAAATTGTATACAATAAATATATATATATATATATTTAAAACAATTTTAATCCGCGCGTTGAGATTTGTTCATCGTCCAAAATATTAAATTAGGAGGATCCAATTTAACTAATAAATATCATAATAAAAGCAATGCACTTTTTCTATAATCCATGGCATATTTAATCGACGTCTTCTCCAAAAAATCTCAGAAAGTTATCTCTATTCGTCATTAACAATACTTTCTCTCAACCCGTACGTCTTCGTTAACCCAATTCAAGAGGAGTATCCCGCGATGGATATAAAAATGGATATTGGAAATATTGCAAAGTTTTATGGACCGCTACCGAGAAATACTTCTTCACGGGCTGATTGTATCGAATCTGGACTGGTTCGGTTGTGGACCTTCCCTCCCCCCCTTCCTCGGTATTCTCCCCCCTTCGAGGCGTACGTGCACGCGTCGCGTTAGCGTTTATCAACCGTGGCACAAATCGCTCGGGGCAATGGCGCGATATTACCACCTTCTGCCGTGACAAACCGTTAAGGGAACTCTTAATTCATTGAAACGCGGCGGAAGCAAGTTACCGGTTGTTCAAGATCCCCCGATAATGGCTAATGAAAACTTGTTCGCCCGCTCTGATTGCACGCCCTGTGCGCATCGCGCTTGCGCCGAATATATCGGATAACTGTATCGTTTATTCGATGCCCGAACACAACATGTGTCTCGTTATACGCGGTTGAAATACGAGATTTAAAAAAAAAAAAGGAGATCGTTGTTACGAGAGAATGATACATAATTCGATCGGTATTGTCAAAATTATCGGGTACATTGAGATTTCTTTCTTCTTCAACATCGAGGTTTTCATCAATTCTCTTTTATTAACAATCGTATTTCTCGCGAATGTAGATCACAAGTTACGTTTAGTCGTTACAAATATCTAAAATATCTTCGTTAAGAGAAAAAAAGAAGCGTTACTCCTTTGAACAAATGCACTTTGATCGCATGTAATTATTTTATACACCAATTACACCATTTCTCTTGGCACAAAACGATCTTTATTTTATCATTAATTTAAATATTTTCGAATCGAATTTAAAATAATACAAACGCATTATAAATCCATTCCAGTTGTGAAAATAAGATGATTTTCGCATCGTGAAAACGTATATATATCATACGTCACATCCTCGTGGACGGGAACGAGCCGAAAATTTCGCCATCGGGTTCATCTGCGAAGGGGGTAGAGATTGAATGGTAGAGATTTCCGTGAAAAGAATGGCACGACCCTATCGCGTGGCATAGCGAACAATGGCCGATTGACCCTTTGGCGTTATTGTGCAAAAACAAAAAACAAGAGCAAGGGGAAGGAGTAAAGAAGGAGGCACGCGTTAATGGGCGAAAATGGTGGAGGGTGGCATGGCGGAGGAACACGCGGCATTGTCACGATCGTACGAATCCGTTCGTCGGGCAAAGAGGTCAGCAATTAGACGAATAACGAGACTAATCGGGACAGAACGGTGTGTTTACGGTGTTCTTGCATTGTTTTATAACAATAATCTCCCACGAACGTCGGCCGAGAATGGAAGAGATTGAATCGAGAGAGTGATTCACTTCCGTGAGATTCGAGATTGGTGGACGTCTGGTGCCACTATTCTCTGATCGGTGTTGGAATTAATTGCTGTTGGTAAACGGGTCATAGATTTCCCGTTTTGATTGAGAATGTGTATGTTATTGGAGAAATTGTTAGAAAAATTGAGAAATATAAGGTATCATAAAAATATAAGGTTTAGCTAATTTCGATTTTTCTGTAACAATGAATTGAATTTTTCCAAAATTTGTTCATTAATGATTTGAAAATGGATATAATTTTTTAATAAAATAAAGTTCTTTCCAATATTAAAATTACGAAAATGTATCTTCTATCTCTTTATTTCAGATATAATATAAAATTTCCCTATTATTCCCGAAAATTATCAACGATCTTTAAATTCAAAATTATACATAATTATACATATTAACGAAGTAATTGAAATTAAAAGTTGATATTAAAAAAATAAATAAATAAATAAATAAATAACGAATCAAACTATTATTATTACGATCATTCGTGTACGATTAAAAAAAAAAGAAAAAGTATTCATCATTTATACTTTTCGTAATATAAGCACGACATTATAAAATCTTCGTCCTAGATTTCTTCTTTAAACATCGCCTCTCGCGTCTTATAGTAGTATTTTATAGGACGCAAGTGAAAGCAGAGTTCTTACACCGTATTATGTTTCAATTCGGCGACAGTTCTCTCGACGCAGTTTGTTAAAAGTTTTAGCCTTTTAGTTTGAGGTGTGTCACGGCCGAGAGCGCCGGAAACATCGAATTAAACATGGCCCCGGAGGAAATGAAACATGAGATATGTTCTTTTGATTTAATTGTTACGCGCGACGCTGACACGAGTTAAAATTATGGGCCAACATTTGATGCGACATACGTTGTCAAGGTTGTCAATTTACCATTAAATATTGTAACGTTACTATTATAATCAAAACATTGATCTTCGCATTAAGTTCGATAAAAATCCATTTTATATTCAAAGAATCGTTTTAATATTCGAAAAGGAATGAAGCTTGAATAAGAATTTAATTCTTATAAAGTTTAACAACATAT